GATGCTCCTCAATCTGGGTCTCAGTTTCCCTAGATGATGGCTGCCAACCCAACAGGACAGCTATGGGTATCTGACTATAGATGTGTGCATCTAGACTATGCCAAACCCAGCACAAGACACATGGGGTGAGGAGAGAGAAGACCCATGCTCAGCCTCTAAAGAGCTCAAATTCGGGAGCCAGATCCCAATGCTATGAAGGGCACACATAAAGCCAGGTACACACCAGAGTGGAGGAAGCAGAGAATGGAGGGTCCACCTGCCGGGCCTGAGGAACAGACAGTGTGGCTAGGCCACAAAGACGGTTCCGCAGACACAGACAATAAGAGCTCCATGGGGCCTGTTTGATCACCACTATGGAGGCCTGGTATGATGCCATAGAGTAAGTACTGGACGGCAAGGTTGGTTTGAACCACAAGCTCATGGTTTGAACTCATCAGCCTCTCCTTGGAAACTCTATACAGGTTGCTGTGATTCAGAATCCACTCTCCGACACTTAACAACAACAACAAAGATCCTAGCACTTCAAACTGTGGTTTGCTGTTGCTAAATGTCATCGGGTCGATTCTGACTCATTGCAACCCCATATAGGGAATAGAAAGTCTCGTGTTTGCCCCAAGAAGTGGCTGGTGGGCTGGAACTGCTGATCCTGTGATTCATAGTCCAGTGTTTATCCCACAGAGCCACCACACTCCCTTCAAACTTTGCTTACCTAATATTTAAAATAAAAAATAAGCCAACCCCAATACTGTCAAGTCGATTCAGACAACCCCACAGAAGAGAGTAGAACAGCCCCCCAAAGGTTTCCAAGGCTGTAAGTCTTTACAGAAGCAGAGAGCCTCAGAGAGGTTGGTGGGTTTGACAGGCAACCTTTCCGTTAGCAGCCAGCACTTCAAACACTGCACCACCAGGGCTCTTGACCTGATATAGCAGGTGTTCAAGAACTGCTTTTAGATAATTTAATGCGTGAATCTGTGAAGTGACACAATATTTGTGAAAGAGCCTTGGAATTTGGAAAGATAATGCCCAAAAGATAATGATGATGATGATGACAATTCCCACCAAAGACAATAGGATAGGAAAAGATGACGTAAAAGCTTGAGAAAGCTGGAGGACCAGGGATGATCACCCAGAGCCAGACATCACTGCTTAGGGAAGGGCCAGTTGCCTTCAAGCTTCCTTTTCCCAGTTGGGCCAACATCTTCCTTAGCCCAGTCCACATTCCTCTATCCACCCCAACACTTCCTTCAAGGACTGGGGGCATAGTCACACTCACTTCAGAGAACCATCTGGAATATGATGTTGACACATGAGAACCCAGCCCATTCCTCTGAGTGATTGTTTGTCACTGCCTTGCTCCTCCCAATGTTAAGGGTTCCTGAATTTATTGTATTCTATATTCTCAAATGAACTCCTGGGATGGTGATGTGGGTTAATGTACTGGATTGCAAGGTCTGTTTGGACTGTAAGGCCAGCGGTCCAAGTTCACCAGCTGCTACTCAGAAACCCTATACAGGGTTGCTATGGGTCAGAACCAACTTGATGGCATTTAACAACAACAACAAAATGCTTTCAAATAAATACCTGTTGAAAGATTGCTCAGGAAGATTTTCCTATAGTTTTCTCTGGAAAGTATGAACTGGATCCTCTTACAGAATGGGGTTTCCCCTATGAGAAAGAGTCCCCAAAGATGTGATCATGTCTCTCCTTTCAGATAAGAAGACAGGGGCTATGTCTTCCTCATGAAATATGGGGTCTGCAAAAGTAGAGATGGATTGGCCTTCCTCTTTGTCTCTCATCCAGGGATCCTCTGTTACCACATAGAGAAGAGAAGAATGAGCAAAAAGAAGGTGCTCAACTGTCTGACACCCCTGAGATGGTACAAGTCAGGAAAGATACTGGGTCCCTGAAACCTCACCCAACTCCAAGTCCATCCCAAGCTGCTCTCGCACTACCAAGGATACCACCCAAACCTCCATGCCTGTGCCTGGACCCCTCCCCATTGGGGAGCATTGTGAGGTGGCAATAAACAAAGTGACTTTGCCTACATGTGCATCCTCCCCCCAGCCCAAGCCCCAGCCCAACACATGAGGAAAAGAACAAAGGTTCCCGGACCGCAACATCATCTGCCGTCTGCCTGTCCAGAGCCTGCTCGACAGGAAACCCAAGACAAAGGCCTTGGTCAAAGCGAGGAGGATGAAGGGCAAAGGGTAGGAGCAGTCCAAGCTGGGGGGAGCCATGGGAGAACGTCATCAGGCTTCTCTGGGGACCTAATTGGGAGGGAAGTTAGGACAGGATGGCAGCCAGGAGCTCCCTGCACATACACGTCAGCATGTCAGTGCACTACCATTTATGGAGCACCTGCTGTAATCCACAACCCCCAAACCTTAGTCTCACACCACACACCTATGCACACTCTCCCTAATCCCTTGCAGTGCATTCCACGGCCCTCAACCTGACACCGCACCCTTAGCTCACTGGATACCCTCATACACTACTCAGCACACATATAAACAGTCCATAGGGAGAAAAGATCACATCATCCCCACCTCACATCAAAAAGTCACACGCTCACACACCCACACTTCCCATGACACTCACACCCAACCTCCCACCACACACCTCACACTCACTTCCCCAACCACAGATACAGGCATCCAATTAAATGCAACACACATACCACCCAGACACAGAGACACGTGCAGACACACCCTGCATTGATAATGTACACACCTCATGTCACACCAAAATGTCACAAGACTGGGCACTCACAGCTGTTCAGCATAGACAACCCCGCCTGTCCGCTGCCTCACACACACACACATACACAGACAGACCTTGCCGGCAAGCTTCTTGCCTTGGTCCCCCTCAGTCCTAACCACACATTTTCCTGCCCAGAATTCCACACACAGTCACCAGCAGACTCAAACACCACTATACAGGTTTTAACACACTCCCCAAGCAAACCCAGGCTGCGCCACAGTGTCCTAACCCAGTTACCTAGGTTGCAAACACACTCAGGCACACAGCCCGCCTACTCCCTTCTGCCAAGACCTCTAATGCAGCCCACTAGACCCCAACAGTGACTTCCTGCATCACACAGTAGCCAACAACATACATAACCATATACGCTATCCCTTGTGCAAGCTACTCCTACATCTCTGCCACACAACAACAGGTATACAACCACACACACACACAAGTTCCCTACATGCACAACAACCCCACACACAGCTACCACTCCACACTCCCAATGCTGCTTCTCTAACCCCATGTAGCATGGAACATCCTATACTCACAGTTCCCATATATACCATAATTTCCCCATGTAGGATAAGCCCTGGACTTTGAATCACAAGGTCTGCAGTTCAAACCCACCAGTTGCTCCTTGGAAACCCTATATAGGGTCGCCATGAGTCAGAACCATTTGATTGCACTAAACAACAATGCCAACTAATCTCCCAAAGGAACCCTGGTATCATAGTGGGTTACAAACTGGCTGATTGGTAGTTCAAATCCACCAGCTGCTCCATGGGAGAAACATGAAGCTTTCGGCTCCCATAGAGATTTACAGACTCAGAAACTCAATACAGAGCTTCTGTGAGTCAGAACCGACTAGACAACATATAACAACAACAATCTCCCAAAATAATTCCCACTCATGATGACACACCCAAGTATACATGACAATATACATGATCACATGTAAGGCACACTCAACACCTGCAGCCCATCCTACGCATGCCCAAACACACCCAGACTCAGCCAGCCCAGGACATCTCCCACCACAGATAACTGATACGAGGTCACAGTCCACTCCTCTCCTCCCCCAACCCAAGCCTCCAGACGTTCCCCCAGTCAAGACCAGGATAGAGGGGACTTATTAGTCATGAACCCTACTACCCTTACCATGTAAGTCCCACCCCCCCATGGATCCCTGGGTACTGCCCATGGGCAACACATTCCATGTTTAATCCTTTCCACCTGAACCCACACCATGCCATAGCTGAGGACATAGGGAGAGATGGAGGTGCTGAAGGTATCAGCCAGGCTTTCTGAGCCTACCCCCCTCATCATGTGAGAGCAGAAGCAGTCATAAGGAGAAGGAGTGCCCATAGGGAGAAACCACAAAACAGAGACAGAAATCTAGAGAAACTGGACAGAGAGACCGTGAGCCAGAACCAGGAGGGCATATGGAGCAAGACACTGAGCAAGGCACTGGGAGAAAAACAGAGAGGAGAGAGAGTGAACCCAGAAAGACTCAGGGAGAAATCAGAGGAGAAACACAGAAGCTAAAGTGGGATCACCACATAGAGAGAAACAAGAGGCCAGACGGAAGAGAACAGGGCCTCTTGGTTAGAGGAGCGAGGAAGGGAAAGATGGAACCAGAGGAATGAGGGAGGGGAAGTCCCACAAGGAAGAGAGAGAGACAGAGAGAGAGAGACAGAGAGAGAGAAAAGCAGTGATGGATAGAAGGGTCTGGATCTTCTAGTACCATCCTAGGTGAGTGGGGACCTGGTAGGGGATGTAGTTAAGACAGGGGTTTAGGGTGAGGTCCCAGCTCTGATGTGGAGCCCCTGCTTTTAGATAGGTGTTCTGGAGTCCAATATATACAGTGGTGGGGGTTCAGGACCTTGGGTAGGGGTCCTGTCACAAACAGCAGAGGAGGGTGTTCCAGACTTTAACGGAGCTCTCAGTGCTTGACACGGAGTCCCCAATTCGATCAGGTTCCAGAGTCTGGAGGGGGGTCCGAACTATGTATGAGCTATGGATTGACGGGTCTGAGTGTGGGCTGCAGTCCCAACACAAGAATGGGGTCCAGAACTAGAGGAGGGATTCCCTTTCTGAGGAGGTTTCAGGGGCTTGAGCGTCCCAGGCTGTAAGGAGGATAGACCATGGAGTTGGCCGACTGCACACTCCATGGAAGACCCGGCTGGCGGTCGTGGGACACCCAGCTCCTTGTGTCCTGCGCGGGTGGGGGTTGGGGTGGAGGGTTGCCCTACCTGCAGGCTGTCGGCGCATGGCTGCGGCGGTGGCTCGTCCGGCTTGAGGAAGACCTGCTGACCCCGCCTGAAGAATTGGACAACAGCGATGAGGATGTGGTGCAACACCAGGACCATGCTCGCAGCCGCTCGCCCGCCCGCCTGCCCGCCCGCCTGGCCGGCTGCTGAGCTCGGTCAGCGCGTCCGCAACAGCTTAGAGGGTCCGCGCGAGTGCCCGCCCCTGACCCGCCCCGGACCGCCCACTGCCCGCCCATTGCCGCTCAGGCCCCGCCCACCTTCCCTGCAACCTCAACGGAACCTCTCTGCTGGTGCGCTCTTCAGCCCTTCTCCAGACCCCTACCACCACCACCACCAGCTTCCACCTCCCGTATCTCTCCGCTCTCAAAAATCTTCCAGCTGCGGTGTCAGCTCCCAGGATTCCCCCGCCAGGTAGCCCGCTCTCAGACCGCCCCCTTCGCCTTGCCTCATTCCACTCCTTTGGCTACTTCTCAGGGTCTCCTCTCCCAGCCACCCACCTGTCTGACCATATTCTCTTTGTCCACCACTTTGAGAGTCCTAAGGCCGTGTTAGGATCCTAGTCGCAGTAGGGAAGGTGAGAGGAGGAAACATGGTGCAGGGGCCCGGGACTTGCTCCTTTCCCTCAACCCAGGAGAAAGGGGAAATTTTAGAAGTCACTCTGAACGGACAGGCCCTGGGAGCAGTGACAGATCTACTGGAAGTGGGGGACGGGGGAGAAGACACGTGCACACACACAAGCACACAAACACACACAGTGGGATAGCCACTGGGCGCCCAGGACAGGGCAGATAGCTCTGTGTTAGAGTCTCCAGAGATCGGAGAGAGTGCAGGCCTCAGGGCCACAGTGTCCGAGGCTCTGCTGTGGGACCCGTGCATCCGGAGCGCGTTTCTCCGCAGAGAGGCCTCCAGGCTCCCGCGCCTGCGGCAGCCGTGACACTCCTACGCCCCCTGCTGTCTCAAAGAGACCGAGCAGCTGGGCCCCAGTTAGCATCTGCCAGGCAGGCCTAGGGTCCCCGTGGCCAGCTTCTTGGCCGGGACTAACCCCGTTTCTGGCCTCCGCTCGACATGAGACTGGCTGGGTCGGTGGGAACTTGGATTCTTGCCTGGCCTTTGCCAGAGACTTGCTGGTGTAGACGCCCCCTCCTTGCTTTCTGGGCCTGTTTTCCATCTCCTTCACAGGACTGTCAGGAGGTTCAAACCTGAGAATGATGGGAAGACAACCAGAGTGCCCTGATAGCCCTCAGTGTGGTCTGACCCCAATCCTTCGCTCTGCACTGCTGGCCCCTTTCTCTGCAACTCTCTCAACATTTCAAGGGTGACTCAGTGAGCCCCCTGTCTCCAAGCTTCCCCACCTTACTCCGCTGATTCATCCTGGCCCTTTCTCCCTGGGGAGTAATTTCTTCAAGGTTGAATCACTGCACCCAGTCCCTGGACACCATCCAGGCACCTGGCACACTGGCGAGGCAGAGCACTTGCCCTCCACCAGCTCACGGGGAGTCTCTCCCATGCCAGGGTTCCTCCTACCGCTCTTTCTGAAGCATAGATCTAGACATGCTTTTTTCCCTACTCAAATACCTTCAGTAGCTCCCTACTACCAGATAGTAAAGGCCAAATCCTCAGCCAGATATGCTAGACCCTTGTTTTATTTTGGCTGCCCTCCCCACCACTCCTTAAATTCATACTTCCTGCTCTCCTCAGCCCACTGATGACTCATTTCTACTTCCAGGACTTGGCCACCTAATTCCCTCTTGTCAGCTCTGCTTATTTAGGGATAAGCTGGAGGTCCACCACTTTCAGACCTTCTCTAGGTGCTATGTTAGTCCTCTGTGTCCTCTTGTGTGTTTCCTAAGAGTCTTGGCTGGATGCTTGGGAAGGAGTAAGAAGCTTGTCTGTCACTGTGTCATCTGGTCAAGTCAATATGTCTTAACTGTATCAACAAAATAGTGATGATGTGTCCTATTTATTAACATTGTAGAAAACATTACATGGGCTGAGGTGTGTAAAGGTTCTGACCCACAAAAGGAACTTCCTTACCCTCTTATGGCCTCAATTTTCTCCTTTGTGAAATGGGTGGCCAATGAAAGGACTATTGTAAGGAGTGAATCTGAGTCCAGTGCACAAAATCTCCTGGCAAATCCTGAGCGCATGTCACTTGTTCAATCTTGGGCTTTAGAAAGCCTGGGTGGGACACAAGTGCCCAAAAGATATCTGCTATGATCATTGGCTGGAGTCAAGGGAGGTCAATGTCAAACCTGGCCTGGGCAAAGCTGTCCTCCTAGGGACATCTCTTGGACTTCCAACTCCAGGCGAGACCTTCTAGAACTCACCTATTGAGAAGTTACTTCTTAAATCTTACTTGAATTGGTCATACTGCAACTCATTGGTTAGGTCCCTAGGTGAATTCTGGATGCCTCCTCCACTCAAAGTGATTCTGTGTCAATCTTTCAGATACTAGCATTTGAGTCCTACCTCTGCTCTGGACTTACCACGTGATTCTAAGAGGTCATAGCACCTCTCTGGGACTCAATTTCCCCATCTGTGAAATGTTATTACAAGAGACTCAATAGCTCACAAAGAATTAATTTGTATGTGTGTACTTGGCAGGATGCAGAGCCCTTTTATAAACATCCCTTCACACAATCCTTGGAATTCCCTAAACATCCTCCTTACAGAGGAGGTAACCAACATTCTGCCATTGACAAAGTGACAGCTTTCCCAACCAGGAAGTGACTGGATCAGGTACGACCCCTGCTTCATGGTCAGGATTCCTTCATTCCTCAGAGACCCTGGCTCTCATTCCATCTCTTCATTCTGGGATTCTCTCCTGGATTCTCACCCTGACTCACCTTCATATCACCTGGGGAGCAGTGAAAAATGCTAAGGCCTAGATCCCTCTCTCCATTCAGGATCATTTTCAGTGTTCCCAGGTGATTCTAAAGTGCTGCCAGGTTTGAAACCCTGGATTAGAGGCATTTCATCCCAGGAGGCTGACCTCAGGCCCATGGAGACAAGAGGCAGGGTTGGGCATCCAAGGGCTGAGTGCGTACATCTGTAGCTGGAGGCTCTGTGTCTGATGGGCTTTGACATTTAATGAGCTATGGACTTCATATTTAATCTTTCCAACAATCCTATAAGATAGGAACTATTATTAACCACTGGAGCTCTGATACCACTGTGGGTTAGGCATTGGGCTGCTAACCACAAGTTCAGTGGTTCAAACCTATCAGCCACTCCATGGAAGAAAGATGAGGCTGTCTGTTCCCATAAACATTTACAGTTTTGGAAATCCTATATTGTGTCATTAAGGAGCTCTGGTAGCATAGTGGTTAAGAATTGGGCTGTGAACCTAAAGGTCAGCAGTTCGAAACTACCAGCTGTTCTGCAGGAGACAGATGACGTTCTCTGCTCCCATAAAGATTTACAGCCTCGGAAACCCTGTACAGGGTTGCTATGAGTTGGAACCGACTCCACGGCACATAACAACAACAAACTGTGTCAATATGAGTTGGAATCAATTTGATGGCAGTGGGTTACTACTAGTCACATTTTACAGATAAAGAAACAGAGGCACAGAGAGATTAAATATTTTTCCCACAGACAGACAGCAAGTGAGTTTTAAAAAAAAAAAACCTGTTGTTGCCCTTTGCATTGATTCTGACTCACGGTAGCCCCGTGTGTTGCAAAGGAAAACTGCTCCATGGGGTTTTCTTGATTGTACTCTTCACAGAAGCAGATCAGCAGACCTTGCTTCCGCAGTGCTGCTGGGTGGGTTCAGACTACCAACCAGGTTATTGGTCAAACACAAACCACTTGTACCATCCAGGGACCTAGTTAATGAGTAAGAAAGCCAGAACCCAAGCACTGCTGTTGAATGAATTCCAGCTCATAGCAATCCTATAGAACAGAGTAGAATTGCCCTTAGGGTCTCCAAGGCTGTTACATCTTTACAGAAGAAGAAGACTGTCTCATCTTCCTCCTGCAGAGCTGCTAGTGGATTCGAACCACTGACTTTTCAGTTAGCAGCCCAAGGCTTTATCCACTGTACCACCAAGGCTCCTCTAGCTAATGAGTGTTGTTGTTAAGTGCCAACAAGTCAGTTTTGACTCACAGTTGTTCAAGGAACAATTGGTGGGTTTGAACTGCTGACCTTGCAGTTAGCAGTCCAGTGCTTATCCTACAACACCACACCTGGATCCAGCTAATAAACAGATCTTTCCCTGCTCTCCTTTTGTGCCCAAGAATGCAGCCGCTGGGGAGCATGTGTTCCTAGTTGTGTACCCATAACCATTTCTAATGCAAAGAAACTCGACTCCAGCTCAGAAACAGTTGGCCCAGCCCCTCTAGGCGCCTCTTCCTGACTCTTAGAGACCACTTGGCTTAGACTCTGTGGCTCAGCTGCCCTGGGCTGGGTATTTAGGGAAGAGGTGACTCAGCCCAGGTATTGGACCCACTAGACCACAGACCCTGTCCAGGAACAGGCCCTGCCTTGTTCCGAATAATAATGGCACCTCCCATTGGTTAACAAACACTTCCTCACCTAGGCCCTATCCACAAGGAGACATTGAAATTCAGAGAAGTATAGACATTTGCCCAAGATTATATATCTGCTTAGCACAGGAACATGGACCCAAGCCCACTGGCTCCAAGTCCAATGCTATTTTCACTAAAGATGGACATCTACTGTGTAACCACCTCCACCCTGCTCATAACCTTCACAGGCTCCCCATGGCCTCCAAGGCAACATCCAAATTCTCAGCATGACATGCAAGGTTCATCCCCAAATGACTTTTCCTGTCTTTTCTCCTACCATCAGTCATGCCTGACTCTCAACTTTCCCCTGGACTTCTGGCATCTCTTCTACCTCTGTGCTTTCGCTCAAACTACTTCCCCCCACACTTTGAATGGCCTCCAAAAGGAATATCTGCCTATCAATATCATGTTCATCCATGCATGCTGCAATATTTGTTGAGACATCGGGGCTAATCAATGGAAGATACAGGAAGAACATTCCTCCACTCAAGATCTCCCCGGTGCACTGTCCTCTCCCTC